ATTCCTGGCCAACATTTCATACGGTGTTTACTGAAAGTACCTTCTGAAGTAGCTCACCTTTAGAATGCTTGTGCTTTTGTACCTTTAAATAGACTATTGGTTTTGCCTGGAATGCCCTTCTTCTGTTTCTCTAACCAGGAAAAGCCTACAAATCTTTGTAGACCCATCTCAAGTATGGGGAGGCAGAGAGAGGCACCAATATCCCTTAAGGGTATGGTATGAAATTTCACAGGCAAAGACTAAAATAAGTCCAGAGTTGCAAAGTTTGGAACTGGGAAGCCCCTTAGGAATCCGTATTTTTAAATATGCCTTTCAAATATTATAATCTGTTTCTCATCTGCTTTCTGTCTGCCTCTTTTCTGATTCTTCTTTTAGCTGACCAGCCACCTCTGATTGTACTGTGTCCAACATAAACAGTAGCCACATGGCTTTATCCTCTTCAAGGACCAGTGATCACCATTAATGATTACATTCTCCGTGTTGTTTAACTAATGTTTAAGGGAGATTCTAATGTGTTCCTGGTCTACGGTGGCTCTATCTTGGACCAGTGTCACACCCTTGGGTGAATTGGCTGTGTCTGGGAAACTGGGTTCCATGGTATTAGCCAGCTAAGGCTGTCATTTCAGCAAGATCACAGACAGGTTCATGTAGGAAAGTTTTGTGAGCAACAGAGAAAACAGTCTGTCGGGTAACTTACCACACTTATGTTGTCACTAATGGATGTGTCTTTCTTCCTCCCCACACATTGCAATCTATTACACTCTGGATGCCTCTCCACAGCCATATGTTATTTTTCTGCTGCAAAATCACTTGGCAGAGTCCCTGCAAATAAGTAGATTTTCAATCAACATGTGTTGAGTAAGCCTTTTAAAAACATAAATTGGATTATGTTGCTCTTTTTTTAAAATACTTCAGTGACTTCCTACTATATCTAAAATAAAATCCAGATTTATTTCCATGATCCCAAAGGCCCTGCAGGTTCTGATCCCTCCCGCCTCTCCAGGTTAGTCAGGTGCATCTCACCCATTCATTCTCAGTGGTCTCACTCATGGATTTTTTTCCTTTTATTTCCTCTAACACATAAAAATTGTTCCAGACTCAGCACCTTGATAAATATTGCTCCCTCTGTCTGGGATGCGGTTCTGATCTTCTCAGGGCTGGCTCCCTCTCAGTTCTCCTTTGGGACGCAGCTTAAGTTTTATATCATCAGAAAAGCCTTTCCTGACTCTCCACATTTTTAACACTACTTTCTATCCTTCTGCTTTGCTGGGTTTGTTCAAAGTGTCTGTCACAATTTTGGATAGTTTACTTAGTTACTATCTTTACCCTGGGTTAGACTGTAAAGGCTGCAAAGTTGAGGGCGTGTCTCTTTCGTTTTCTCCCATATATGTGAAGCCTCATACAGTGCTTAACACTCAATAAATATTTGTGAATGGATGAATATATCAGAAGAAAGTGGTTCAAATTCTGTCTTGCTCACTGACAATGATTTTAGGCAGATAGCTTTTCCTTTCTAAGCTTCAGTTTCCTTTTCTGCAAAATCAATAGATTTCAGGGTGGACAGAATGGTTATTTCTCTTCACCCAAGAACATCTAAGGCTTTCTCTTCTGAGATGCTTTCCTGAGCTAACCTATCTCATTCTGGGCCCACTGAATACCTAACCTGAAATACTATTTGGCAGTAGTTTTCTTAGACATGAACCAGGGACGCTTGGAGAAAGAGAGAAGGCTGGGCCACATAGAAATTTTGAGAATCCAGAAGTATCTTTTAAAAATGAAGAAATTCCTAAATATGGTAATAAAAAGTATCAGAAATGTAGCCATTTTAATTCTGACAAAAAAAAACTTAAAATTTCCTTCAACAGAAATCTTATTTAAATGTTTACTGAGCATTAATCATATGCATTAAAGACCATAGAACATTTTTCATCTACTGTCTCATTTAATGTGACAACATTTGCATGACAGATTTATTTGGGGGATCCCATTAAACCATGCCTCCCAGATGCATACACCTGTAAATCTCTAGCCATTTGGAGGCTGGGCTGGCCCTGTGACCAGCTGTGACCAATAGGACATTAGCAAGAATAATGCAGTAGAGGCTTGATACATGCTTGCACACTGAGGCTTGTTTTCTTGAACTGTTTCTCCATAAAACCTAGCCACCATGCTGTTATGGAACCCAGAAAGCTATGTGGAAAGGCCCATACAGAGGAGAATCAAGGGGTCTGGCCCACAGCCCCAGTAGGGCTCACAGGCAGCAGGCAGCACCAGTTACCAGCTATGCGAGTAAAGTCAGACATAGTGGAAACTTTCAGACATCCCACAGTGACACTCCATGAAGCAGGGCACCCAGTCAATAATCCACAGAATCATAAGAAAAAAATAATAATTTGTTTTTCTAAGCCACTAAATTTGGGGGTAATTTGTTACTACTCCAAGCAGTCTCAAAACTAGATAGTATTTCATTTACACAAAGGAGAAACTGAGACTCAGAAATGGAAAATGATCAAAATCCCATTATTATTTTAATTCTGATTGATATTTGCCACCTTCTCTGGAGATTAGTGAAAGACCCTCCAAAATAGCTGATTTACGTAGAGCTCCAATGGAAGAGGAAGTCCTGCATGGATCACATGACCCTGTTCTCTCCACCTCAAGTCACAGGTGGCTGAAAGAAATTGGCAACTAACTCAAAAACAGCCAAATAATCAGCTGGCCAGTAACCTACAGTGTGGCTTGGAGTGCAAGTCAAAATAACAAGTCAAACTAAAGTCAAATTTCCTGTCTCAAGAATTTTAACTGAAAATACGGAATGACTAAGACAGCTGAGTAGTAGACACTGAAGTTTACATGACAGCATGGGTTAGGCAGAAATATGACATATCACAACACACCAAAGTTATAAGAAAGCATCATATAAAGCAATATGAGCAACCAGAAAGTATAAAGAAGAAACAACATGTAAGAATACAGGTGAATACTCTATTGATTGATACCCAAAAGCAGAGGAGGCAGAGGGAGCTGTGCAAAGACACAGAAAAAGGAAAAACAGCCATGCATCAGAGCCTCCATAAGACCCCCCATCCCTGCCTATTTCCCAGTGATTTTTCAGTTATGAATTTAATACACTCTCTTGTAATAAAGACATCTTTTCTTAAAATAATTTGAGTAATTTTCTATCTCTTGCAACCTTGACAGACAAACTGAAACAAATTTTAAACAGGAAATTATTCCCACCATGAAAAATTTATTTGTTTAATTTTAAATATGAGTCCACTTATATGAAGGACCAGAAGACTTTTGAGATTGTTTAGAGATAATGGAAATGGGGGTCCCTGAGAAAAATTTGTGTCTCAAGATAATTTTCTATGCAGAATGACTTCAAGTTGCACAGAATAATTTGAGCTATTAGATTATCAAAACGTTGAATTTAGAGTTCAAGATCCCAATACCTTCTTCAGACACTTGCAACCAACAGCTTCTCATTTGACCCAATTTGCCTATGAATTAGTATGCACACAAGCATAACTAGCCCCTCAAAATTTATATCATCCATGAGTAGTTATATAAAACTTTACAACTCTAGAAAGGAAATAAATAAACTAGTGAAAGGAAGAAGGGAAATATTACTGCCGCAAAAGAAGTTAATTCTACAAATAATTTTTAATAATTTTAAACCTGACTTTGATTAGAAGATTTAAAACCTTAGAACAATTTACTTTGGTTATTCTTTGTCAGATTTATGAAGTTCTGTCTTTAAAAAATGTGTATATTGCTGAAAGATTGTAAAATTTAATAGCAAACAGATTACGCACTTAGGAATAGACTAAGCACAATTAGCGCTCACATTCCTCTCACTCCTATAAATAACTCAGTTTCCTTTCCATGTCTGCAAATTTCATTAGAGTAGTGGAAAAAAAAAGCGGGGGGAGAGAATAAAAAGGGAAAAAGAAAAGGCTTCTGATTCTCTTTCACTGCAAAGTACAGATCCAGTCATTCAATCAGGGTCTTTGTGCAGCCCTAGGAAGGGGCATAGGGATGGGGTGGGGCAGAGTTAAATAATTCTGTCTCTGGGTCTTAGCCCCCTAGCTTTGGAAAGAAACTTTTCTACATGTGGCTTTGGAATTCACCTGCTAGAAAAGTGTACTGGCCTTTCCAGCAAGCAACCTGCTGTATGGCTTTCTCAAAGATGAACTTCAGTGATCTCAGAACAAAACACTTTGTCCCTCGCATAGTTTCAAGTTATATCTACTTTAGAGATCCTACCTAATTTAGCAGTTTATTGTTAATTGTGTCTGTAAAAAAGAAAAAGACTAAGACAGGTGTTAGAGGAAGGTATCTGGAAGAAGTGAAATTCTGGAAGCATGGAATGTACAAGTTCCTTCAGAGACTCTTGTGCCCCACCCACCACAACACTCTCCTCTAGGGAAAAGTCTGTGCCTAAACAAATTTTAAGACTTTGGGTTTATGTTCAGTTTGTGGAGGGGCCTGTTTGTGTAAAGTGAGGTGGATAATAGAGAATTTTGTTCATTTTTATACTGTGTGAAGGAAAAAAAACTTTCTTCTTTCATAATCTGGATATTTTAAAACACTCAAGTCTAAGTTTGTGTTTAAAAGGTGAAAAAAAATCTACAGTCTAGTTTAAAACTGGATAAAGGACTTAACAGGTATTTCTTCAAAGAAGATATACAAATGGACTGTGCATATATGAAAAAATTCACAACATCGCTAATCATTAGGGAAATACAAACCAAAACCACAATGAGATACCACCTCATACCCATTAGGATGGCCATTATTAAAAAGAAGAAGAAGAAAGAAAGACAAGTGTTGGTGAAGATGTGAGGAAACTGGAACCCTCATGCATTTTTGGTGGGAATGTAAAATAGTGTAGCTGTTGTGGAAAACAGTATGGCAGTTCTTTAAAAAATTAAAAACATAGGGCCCACTGAGAACCATCCTAGCAACCCAGCCACAGCTAGTCTTCCCTGGACAGCATGAACCACACCATCTAAACCTTCTTCAGTCCCGCCAACACCAACCATCCCTCCAACTATGAGATGCTGAAGGAAGAGCATGAGGTGGATGTCCTGGGGGCACCCCATAACCCGGCTACCCCGACATTCACCATGATCCACATCCACAGAGAGACCTCTGTGCCTGACTATGTAGTCTGGTCCCTGTTCAACACCCTCTTCGTGAACTCCTGCTGCCTGGGCTTCAGAGCATTTGCCTACTCCGTGAAGTCTAGGGACAGGAAGATGGTTGGTGAACTGACCGGGGCCCAGGCCTATGCCTCCACTGCCAAGTGCCTGAACATCTGGGCCCTGATTTTGGGCATCATAATGACCATTCTTCTGATCATCACCCCAGTACTGATCTTGCAAGTCTATCAATAGATCAAGAGGACTCATCCAGGCCAGGGGCTCTGCCCATCACCTGTTTCCCATGTACTCCACCTTCCATTCCTCACCCAGCCCCCGAGCTGAGTCCTGTATCAGCCTTTTGTCCTCACACACTTTTCTACAATGGCATTCAATAAAGTGTACGTGTTCCTAGTTAAAAAAAAAAAAAGAAAAATTAAAAATACAATTACCATATGATCCATCAACTTTACTTCTGGACATATACCAAAAAGAATTGAAAGCAGGATCTCAAAGAGATATTTACATATCCATGTATATAGCAGCATTGTTCACAATTACCAAAACGTGAAAGCAACTCAAGTATTCACTGACAGACAAATGGATAAAGAAAATATAGCATATACATATGGTGGAATATTATTCAACCTTAAAAAAGAAGAAAATTCTGTCTCATGCTACAACATGAATGAATCTTGAGGAGATTATTATAAATGAAATCAGTCAGTTGCAAAAAGACAAATACTGTATGAGTCCACCTATATGAAGAACCAGGAGTAATCATATTTGTAGAAAGTAGAAAGGTGACTGCCAGAGATTGGGAGAAGGAGAGAATGAGGAGTTGCTGCTCGATGTGTAAGGAATTTCAGTTCTGCAAGATAAAAAAAGTTCTAAAGATTGGTTGCATGACATTCTGAACTAATTTAATACTAGTGAAGTGTATGTTTAAGCATGATTATGATGGTAAAGTTTATGTTATGCCTATTTTTACCCTAATTAAAATTTTTCAAAAATATTTAAAAGACGTAATTATCATAAAGTGACGAGAAGATTTTTATACTACCCACTTTCTGAGAAGTAGAGCCTGATCCTTTTGATAATTAGAAAAACCAATCAATAAATCAAGGTTTCTTTCTTCTTCCTCTTCCTCTTCTCCACCTCCTTTATCTATACTTCTCTCTCTCACCCCACCCACTTCTCTCTCTTCTTAGATTCTCTGTTTCTGCTCTGTAGCAGACACTCTCTAAGATGACCCTCAATATGATCCCCACCTTCTAATAGTTACGCACTTGTGTAAGCACCTTCCCTTGAGTGTGGGCAGGACCTGTGTCTTGCTTCCAATCAATAGAGTACTGCAAAGGTGATGGGGTGTCACTCCTAAGATTACATTACTGTACACTGTAACTCCTGTATTGCTTGCAGATTTTTCTCTTGCTGGCCTGATAAAGCAAGCTCCCATGCTGTAAGCTGCCCTAAGGAATTTTATTCTCTCTGTAACAATTGCGAATGGGAGTTTACTCATGTTTTGGCTCCCTGTTTGTCTATTATTGGTATATAGGAATGCTTTCAATTTCTGCACATTGATTTTGTATCCTGAGACTGCTGAAGTTGCTTATCAGCTTAAGGAGACTTTGGGCTGAGATGATGGGGTTTTCTAAATATACAATCATGTCATCTGTAAACAGGGACAATTTGACCTCCTCTCTTTCTATTCAAATACGCTTTATTTTCTTCTCCTGCCAGATGGCCCTAGCCAGAATTTCCAATACCTTGTTGAATAGGAGTGGTGAGAAAGGGCATCCTTGTCTTGGGCCAGTTTTTAAAGGGAATGCTTCCAGCTTTTGCCCATTCAGTATGATATTGGCTGTGGGTTTGTCATAAATAGCTTTTATTATTTTGAAATACGGTCCATCGATACCTAGTTTATTGAGAGTTTTTAGCATAAAGGATTGTTGAATTTTGTCGAAGACCTTCTCTGCATTGAGATAATTATGTGGTTTTTGTCTTTGGTTCTGTTTATGTGATGGATTATGTTTATAGATTTGCATATGTTGAACCAGCCTTGCATCCCTGGGATGAAGCCAACTTGATCATGATGGATAAGCTTTTTGATGTGCTGTTGGATCTGGTTTGCCAGTATTTTATTGAAGACTTTTGCATCAATATTCATCATGGATAATGGCCTGAAATTTTCTATTTTAGTTGCACCTCTGCCAGGTTTTGGTATCAAGATTATGGTGGTTTCATAAAATGAGTTCGGGAGGATTCCCTCTTTTTGTATTGTTTGTAATAGTTTCCAAAGGAATGGAACCAGCTCCTCTTTATAACTCTGGTGAACTTGGCTGTGAACCTATCTGGCCCTGGACTTTTTTTGATTGGTAGGCTATTAATTGCTGCCTCAACTTCAGCCCTTTTTATTGGTCTATTCAGGAATTCAACTTCTTCCTAGTTTAGTCTCGTGAGGGTGTAAGTGTCCAGGAATTTATCCATTTCTTCTAGATTTACTGGTTTATTTGCACAGAGGTATCTGCAGTAATCTCTGATGGTAGTTTTTATTTCTGTGGGATTGGTGGTGATATTCCCATTATCATTTTTATTGCATCTATTTGAATCTTAACAAAGATACAGGCCAATGGAACAGAAAAAAAGCCTCAGAAGGAACACCATACAACTATAACCATCTGATCTTTGACAAACCTGACAAAAACAGGCAATGGAGGAAAGATTCCCTATTTAATAAATGGTATGGGGAAAACTGGCTAGCCATATGCAGAAAGCTGAAACTGGATCCCTTCCTTACATCTTATACAAAAATTAACTCTAGATGGATTAGAGATTTAAACATGAGACCTAACATCATAAAAACTCTAGAAGAAAACCTAGGCAATACCATTCAGGACATAGACATGGGCAAGGACTTCATGACTAAAACACCAAAAGCAATGGCAACAAAAACCAAAATAGACAAGTGGGATCTAATTAAACTTAAGAGTTTCTGCACAGCAAAAGAAACTATCAATAGAATGAACTGGCAACCAACAGAATGGGAAAAAATTTTTGCAATCTACCCATCAGACAAGGGGCTAATATCCAGAATCTACAAAGAACTTAAACAAATTTACAAGAAAAAAACAAACAACCCCATCAAAAAGTGGGCAAAGAATATGAACAGACCCTTTTCAAAAAAAAAAATTTAAGCAGCCAACAAATATGAAAAAAGGCCCATCATCACTGGTCATTAGAGAAATGCAAATCAAAACCACATTGAGATACCACCTCACGCCAGTTAGAATGGTGATCATTTAAAAATCAGGAGACAACAGATGCTGGAGAGGATGTGGAGAAATAGGAACACTTTTACATTGTTGGTGGGAGTATAAATTAGTTCAACCACTGTGGAAGACAGTGTGGCAATTACTCAAGGATCTATAAATAGAAACACCATTTCACCCAGCAATCCCATTACTGGGTATATATCCAAAGGATTATAAATCATTCTGTTATAAAGACGCATGCACACATATGTAAATTATTTTGTAAAAAAGTAATAAATCATGAGAAATTGAAATGTTATGTTGTTCAGTTAGTTGCATAACCACTTTCTCTTCCATTTGTCTCAATCCAACTGAAAATAAACAAGATCTACCCCATGCAAACCCTTAATGTATTGTTGCTTGCTTACATGCCCAACTTCCCCTTCCTGTACCTGTCTTCCCATTATCCTACCTGATAATCTTTCTTACAAACCCAGAGATCCAAAACCCTCCTGCAATCTTTAATCCCTATACTATCAAAGGAGATCTGAGAAATAGAAACACCATTTGTTTCAATCCCATTACTAGGTATATATCCAAGGATTATAAATCATTCTACTAAAAAGACATGCACACATACGTTTATTGCGGCACTGTTCACAATAGCAAAGACTTGGAACCAACCCAAATGCCCATCAGTGATAGACTGGATAAAGAAAATGTAGCACATATACACCATGGAATACTAAGCAGCCATAAAAAGGATGAGTTCATGTCCTTTGCAAGGACATGAATAAAGCTGGAAACCATTATTCTCAGCAAATTGACACAAGAACAGAAAACCAAACACCCACAAGTTCTCACTCATAAGTGGGTGTTGAACAATGAGAACACATGAACACACGGAGGGAAACATCACACACTGAGGCCTGGGGGGTGAGGGGCTAGGGGTGGAATAGCAGATGGTGGAGGGATTGGGGAGGGATAGCATTAGGAGAAATACCTAATGTAGATGATGGTGCGATGGATGCAGCAAACCACTAACATGGCACGTGTATACCTATGTAACAAACCTGCACGACCTGCACATGTACCCCACAACTTAAAGTATAATAAATAAATAAATAAATAAGCGGCCCTAAGAAGAGACCCACATGGCAAGAAACTGAGACTCTCAGATGATGGCAAGCTAGGAACTAAATCCTGACAACTATGTAAGAAAGCTTGAGAGTGGACCTTCCTCAGAGGAGTGTTTGGATGAGACTTCAGTGCCAAGCTGACATCTTGATTATGATCTTGTAGAATCAGAAAACTCTAAAATAGAGAACCTAATTAATCCCTGCCCAGATTCCCAACTTGTAGGGGAAAAAATGAGATATGAATGTGTATTGTGTTAAGCTACTAAATTTATGATAATTTGTTACAAATTCATATATAACAAATGCATTCTCTGTTACCCTCCATAGACAAACTCCCTTGACAGGATTTTAGTTTTTATGAATATGCATAATGTGATTTGCCCCAGACCTGTCCAAGTTTGCCTCAGCTCCACTATTGCTTCTCATAAGCAACCTAACTGATCTCTGGGTCTCAGGTTGGAATACCTAGGAGCATCAGCTAGCCCAACTAGAATCAAACCCATTCACTATGGCACCTGCAGCTAACAGACCTGCATTCTCATCAGTTAAGACTGTAATTGAAGGCAGGTATTTCATAAAAGGGGGAGTGGCCTGAAGGCCCTGACCAGGGTCTTGAGCATGTTATACTGGCCCTCTGTCTGTTTTCTTTTGAAATGAAGTTAAGGGTCAGATTATTGTAAAGGTTGTCCTGAGACTTCAGAACTCTTCCATATAGATGGAAGAAATAGTGTAAATAATAGTAGTTATATAAGCTTTGCAACTCAATAAATAAATTTTAAAAACTAAAACTATGTAAATAACACATACAGTATTTAATCTTGCAACTAAAACCAAACATCTCTGACATTTGCAGATTACAGTGGCCTTCACAGGTAACTTAAATTAAGTTAGCATCCAAACTAAGTTTTCATATTAATAAAACACTAAATAATGAAATATTCCCAGTGTGACCAGTTCAATTGCAGTTAGAATAATAATTTATAACATTTATTAAAACCTTATTTTGCTCAACATAAATACTGA